GTCATTGTTGTTTGGCGGGCCCGGGCTGGGGATTCGAACCCGCCACCTTAGGTGTATGTGGCTGGCGCCTTAGCCGCTTGAGCCACAGGCACCAAGCCAATAGAACCATTTTCAATAAAACTCTAAAATATGCCTTACCACTAGCTATTTTGCTCTTCACTTTACCCATAGTCTCTGGTACACAGCAGCCTGCTAAGAGCTTCCAGAAGAGTCCTTTTTTGTTTTTTGGAGACAGAGTCTCACTCTGTGCTCTAGGTAGAGTGCTGTGGAGTCATCATAGCTCGCAGCAAACTCAAACTCTTGGGCTCAAGCAATCCTCTTGCCTTGGTATCCTGAGTAGCTGGGACTACACGCGTGCAACACTACGCCCCGCTAGTTTTTCTGTTTTTAGTAAAGACAGGGCCTTGGTCTTACTCAGGTTGGCCTTGAACACCTGAGCACCTACCTTGACTTCCCAGAGTGTTAGGATTACAGGCCTGAGCCACTGCGCCTGGCCCAGAACTCCTTTTTGTCATTAAAGTCGTACTGTGCTGTAATGTAGTGTTACTCTGGAGGACTACAAAGGTCTTGGGCTTATTTTCTGTCCTAAATAGCCTCTAACTCCTATGCTTTTTAGCTTTTCTCTCTTCCTTCACTGTCAACTATTGCTTCTTACTGACATCCGTGTGCCTGCCTGTGGCAGCCACTTTCCGCTTTGTGACTGTGGGTTCCAATGTCCTCTAAGTCAGGAAGAGAGACAACCAAAGGGAACAGTCATGCCTAAGAAACGACAAGCTCAAACTCCATGTGTGAGTGGTCCCCAGTGAGTAGAGCAGATCCAGTGTACAGGTTTTGAGGTATCTGCTTTGATTGCTTTTTGGGTTTAATCTGTGGCTTGTAGTGAAGTTCCAGAGAGCTGAAGATGTTAGATAAATGATCTGCAGACAGTGAGGTATGTTTCTGCTAAGAAGCAAATTAACCCCACCCCCCATAAATCTCCAAGAGATCCAAAAAAAAAAAAAAATGTTTGCTTTATACCTTGAGTCATACACCAGCAGGCTCTCTTAAGGCATGAATTTGCAGCAATGTAATAGCAAATAGGAAAAAAAAATTGTTTTTTGGGGGGTGGGAATGAAAAAAAACTTTTCATGTATAAGGCACAGATCTGTATATGGTACATAAGCAGGTATATACTCTATCTGTGGCATTAACATTTCATGGTGAGGAGAGATTAGGCAAAACAGACTAAAGATTTGTTAGGGTGCAATAATGAAAAAAGATCGGAAAGGCTGCTCTAAGGAGTCAAAAATAGAGGCAAACTTACTTTAAGCAAGCAAGATCCTCCAGTGAAAGTGAGTGCTAGGCCAGAATGAAGGCGACCACAGTTACTCTGCCCTTTTAAACCTTGCTTCTGTAAAACATAGCAAGGGGCCATCACACTGTCTCTTATAAAACAATCTCTGAGTATGTTTGATGCTTATAGCATGCCAGCAGAATCTCTTTCATGTCTTCATGCAAAAGATAATAAAGGCTTTTAAAAATATGATAACATTCCTATGGGAAACCTGAAACATTTTTGGTATCAGAATATAGATAGATTTAACTTTAGAAAACTTTTGTTGTTGGTTAAATTATAGAAGAAAGTATATTAACTCTTCTGAGGCACAGGACCGAGGAAGAAGATGGGATTTTAGATGTGCAAGTGGGAAAATCTCACTTTGATAATAGATAGAGTCATCAGTCTTGATGTTAAAGACTAAATCAACATTTGCAGGTCAAATGTAAGAAGAACAATGTATAAAAGGAATAAAATAATTTCTAAACTGATTTGATCCTTAAGAGAAAATTGTAACCATTTTAGGCTATTTCAATAACAACATTACAATCTAATTTATTTATTTATTTATTTATTTGAGACAGAGCCTCAAGCTGTCACCCTGGGTAGAGTGCCGTAGCATCACAGCTCACAGCAACCTCCAACTCCTGGGCTCAAGCGAGTCTCCTGCCTCCACCTCCCAAGTAGCTGGGACCACAATCTAATTTCTTAAAGTGCCTCTTCAGATTGTGGCTGCCTTCAGTCTTATATTTTAATCTCTTATTTACACACTTTGACTTCATTATTTTTTTCCTTACAAGTGCTAAAAGAAAACACTTCAAAGTTCCTACAGGTATAAAAGTTCGGGTTTGAGAAATACACATTTCTTCAAGCTAAGGCAATAAAATCCAGATGTTTCTCACTGATGTTTCCAAAGTTCAAAGCACATCTGTGGAGTAAGACAAGGCATCTATAAAGCACTCTATGAGCTGATATAATAGAACAAATTCTAATCATGCCATGAGTTGGCAGGTTAATGAATCTTATTTTAATCTATGTTGGGTATTCATAATATGGAGCGTGTTAGTATCTCAAGTTAGAAGCTATCTCAGATTGTTGTCTGCGTTTTCATATTATTCCTCCTTAAAAATATAAGGTTAAAATAAAACGAAAAATTTAACATTTGAACCAACATGGGGATTCTGCTAGTTGTTCCTTATGCCTGTTCTAAGCATGCACTACAGAACTGGGAAGTAACCACAGGACGAGTTTGGGGACCTACCGTGAGATGGACTCAAGCTAGAAATGCATTAATCACCTGACCTCCACAAGCCCCTCCTCTGACCGGTGAACCACAGGAATTTTTAGGGTCTCATGGAATTAGTGCCAGGCCAGAGCCAGTGCCCAGTAATCCCTGAAAAGTCTGATTATGTCCTTTTCTCCAACAGTCACCTTGGTAAAAGCCCTGGGATCCTTTGAGAAAGGCTGGAAGATTAACAGTACAAATTTTTGGTCACGTAAGCAGAAGTCCTTCCTTAAAGGGACTGGCCTCTTCTGCATTTGGGGGGAGGGGTTCAGTGTTTATAAACGGGCTTCAGTTTTGGAATTGACTGAGGGACCATGACTCTTTGTTTCTATGATTCAACTCAGATTTCTGTTCATTTGATCTTTTTTTTTTTGCAGTTTTTGGCTGGGGCTGGGTTTGAACCCGCCACCTCTGGCATATGGAGCCGGTGTCCTACTCCTTTGAGCCACAGGCACCGCCCGTGATTTCTGTTCATTTGAGCTAGAACTCTTCTACTTGTAGACTACCAGTCTATTTCACTTCTAGGAGTGCCATGATCTGTTAGCCGACTCCACAGGTCTCTGCGAGGCAGGCTCTTCTAATCACTACTCATCATAGTAATCACACTCATTTACCTTGAACGTTTCAGTGCTGACACCTGGCCTCTGCCAGCCTGCCTTAACAGATCTCCACTTGCCAGTCTTTTCAGCCTAGTGAGCCAATTCCTTCAAATAAGTATCTATCCACCTCCCCTTCTGAATGGCTATGTATGTGAGCATAGCTACCCATCTAACAATAGACAGATCTGTGCCCTCTTCGTTCTGTTTCTCTGGAAAACCCTGAGCAATAATAATGAAGGACGTGGAATGGAGAACAGGCATGTGTTAAGCAGAAATCGGCTAAGTTTTCCAAGGAACAAGAGCAAAAAACTTTGACCTAATCATAAAATTTGTGAGCTTAGAAAATATTTTTTTCACTTTCTGAATTTTGTTTGGCAATGCTGTCAAATTTTGCTGGCAATAGCATCTAATCACTGAAAATAGAGCAACCAATTCTTTTTTTTTTGTAAGAATACACATCCAAGAACTAAAACTTGGTAAGAGAGTCCAAATCTATCCCGAAATTGAAAGTTATCTCAGGCACACACCCAAATACAAGCAAAGCAGGTTTCAGGCGCGAAGGCGGTGAGTGCTTACACTGTTTCGCTTTGTCCCTGTCATCGTTGGCGTTATTGACGGCTTGCTGTATCTCATCCAGCCAAAGAACTTTCGAGGTCTTCTCGGAGGAATCCTGTGAACAATGCCATAGAATAAAAGAACAGTGGATGATGAGAAAATAGGGTTAATGACGGTTTTTCAGGAGCCATTTTTCTGTAACTCCCACAAATTCTTCATTGGCAACCTCCAAGCACTGCCAGACACTGTACCAGGAGCAGACTCCAAACTGGACCATGTCTCCCTGCCACCCTTCAGTCCAGCCCACCATCATCTCCCAACGCGCAGCTCTTTGCTTTTGCTGCTTGGTCTGTCCTCTACTGAGAACGTGGTGATCTCTCCAAATGGACATCTCATTACACTACTCCTCTGCTGACACTCCCGCAAAAGCTTCTCCTGCAGTTAGAAGAAAACACAGACTCCTCCTCCTGTGGAGCTCTGATGATGCATCCCTGCCTGACCCCCTCTAGCTTCACCTCACACCCCTCCTTCCCATTCCCTGTCAGAACTTCACCACGGCTTTCTCTAGACCACAGCACGCTCCCTGAGCTGCATGGCTACCAGCCTTAACTTTCAGACCTGACCTCGAATGCCACCTCCTCCAAAACGTCTATCCTGGCTACCTCAGTCAAATCAAAGACTCTCCCCCAATCACTCAACAATCTTCATTCCCAAACTATGTTCTAAGCTGCCCCAGGATACCATGGAATATTTTAAATTTGAGGAAAACACGGAAATAGTTGGCATTTATCCGAATCAGGGGGGGGAAAACCACACCACGGTGATTGCCTGTAAGGAGCTAACAGCCTACTTTAAAAGACAGATGTTTCAAGGAAATTATAATACAATATAATCAGGGCAATGTCAGCAGTAGATACAAGATCCAGAAATAGGCAGGAAAGGATGAACCTATGGTGAATTGCAGGGGGAGAAAAGACTAAGCAGCTAAGCATTAGCTTCAGAAAGGAAGTGCTAGCAGCAATGAAACCAGATTAGATTACCTTTACCAGTTTACCTCGGAGCTGACTCTGATGATTCTGCTCTAAGTGCAGTGCTGGTATACATTAAACGGGACTTAGATAGCAACTGTGTTTTATAAAAACTTGTGCCAGATTGCAATTGTTATCAGTAGAAATATTTTCTGGGAAGATGTGACATTCCATTTAAAAAATGAGAACATTCTACCTACGTGAAGGAATGAGTAAGTGTTATGCTCTAAATCCTGCATCAAAACTACGGTGAATGAAAAGACGACTTTAACACTGGAGCCTGGACAGCCAGCTCCATCATGCAGGACCCAGGATGGACGGGGGCAGGAAGGAGGAGTAACATCCACCAGCTCCTGTTGCAGGCTTCTGACCTGCCTCCCTCAGAGGCTAACGTTGAGAGAGCGCATGTGGAAAGGGCTCTGAAAATGAGACAGAATAGCTGGTATTTCATCCTGTAATGTCTGGGCTAAAGGGAACCTCTAGGGAAGGCCTGGCACTTGGTTCCACAATCATCTCTAGCTACCTGCCTCACCACGTGGGAACCATCGGCTGCCAGTAAGGTTTTCCATTTCTTCCAAGACTGGATGGGGGAGGTTCAAACAGGAAGCAAGATGGAAGGGGGAAGACCATAAAAGGAATCCAGAGATAGGGAAGCAGGAACTACTTTTTCTCTATTTTCAAGGCTTAAGAGAACCCAGTATGCCCTCGGATTAAGTTAAAAACTAAGCTCTGGGAAAGTTCACTTATATCTCAGTTTTCTGAAGGATATTTGTGTTTTCCTTCATGACTTGCCACTGTACAAGTTGTGCCCCGCAGACTTCTACTGAGAAGGCAGTCACAAGCCCACTTCAAACCTTCAGTATTTGTCTTATAAGCTATAAGCCAAACTAAAGAGAGACTTTGCAAATCAATCAATTTAACTCAAAGGTTTAAGTCAAGACACACTGAAGTAAAGGTTGCTAAACAAATACAAAACCGAGAGTAAAAATCAAATCCGTCCAAGTCAAGCTTCCCATTTCGACAGTTCACCAGAGGACTGGAAATGATACTATGTTTATGGGATGGCCATATCTCTGCCTCAGCTAAGCAGCCAGGTTCCATATAAAATTTACAAATGCATTAAATGACTAGAAATGAGGCCATGTGCGAATCAAGTCATAAATTCCTGCATTAAGAAAATTCATAGGCTCGGCACCTATGGCTCAAGTGGCTAAGGCACCAGCCACATACACCTAAGGGGGTGGGTTCAAATCCAGCCCAGGCCTGCCAAAACAACAATGATAGTTGCAACCAAAAAATAGCCAGGTGTCTGTGGTCCCAGCTACTTGGGAGGTAGAGGCAGGAGACTCGCTTGAGCCCAGGAGTTGGAGGTTGCTGTGAGCTATGATGCCACAGCACTCTACCCAGGGTGACAGCTTGAGGCTCTGTCTCAAAAAAAAAAAAAGAAAAGAAAATTCATAGAAAAATGTTAGTTAACAAATATCTTCAATATTTTGTGTGGGTTTTTCTTATTATTTATACTACAATATAAATACAATATCTCGTTTGTGTAACCATGTTATTATGTAGTTGAAGTATCAAACACTGACCTTTGATTGTGAAAATCTTGGTTTGATGAAATTTAATTAAGTGTGAAAGTTCCCATAGATGAGTTTCTTTCTAGATTATCCCTCAGTCTTTAAGTGTCATAAAATTCACAGAATTTTACAGGCAGCAAGATGTTGGGTTATCTGACTTTGAGTTTAATCTTCACTTTTATTAATGAATGGAAAATCTGTTACAATGCAGTTTTTTTTTTTTTTACTATATATTGAATCACATGCCCCAGAATCTAACTCATAAAAACTTGTATGTTGCACAATCTGAATATACTTAACACTACTGAACTCACACTTATAGTGGTTCAGATGGTAAATTTTATGTTATGTGTATTTTATCATAAGTAAAAAAAATCTTATTGGGGTGGTGCCTGTGGCTCAGAGGAGTAGGGTACGGGCCCCATATGCCAAGGGTGGCCAGTTCAAACACAGCCCCGGCCAAAAATAGCAAAAAAAAAAAATCTTATTGTAGATCTGCTCACAAAAACTTGTGGAATAATGAGGGGTCTCCTTTGCATTTCAATGTTGCATTATGATTTTAATCTAATCTGATAGTGTTATTTGGGAGGTTTCCTCAGTTTTCTAACTCTGTAGGAACAAAACACACTGAACTGGGGAAGGGAAAACCAACTCTGAACACCCAACCTTCTCAAATACCTACAGAAACAAACATAAAACCAAGTTCTGCCCAGGCGTTCGCTGATGACAAATTCAGACCAATGTGACATCGATGAAGAGTTTTCAAAGTAATCAAGTACACAATATTAACATATTCAAAATGTTTGCATTTCATAATTTAATTTCTAATTATGTAATATGTTTAAGAATTAAGATTTAAAACAGCTGGGAGGATGAAGTAAAGGACTGTAAAGACCAATTATGAAGCAGAAATTACACCTTGGAACTGCTTTTTAAAAATGGGTAAAAATTGAGGTATGAGACAGATTCAAAGCTAACTGCTACTTGGCATCTATCTACTCTTGGCTTAGCTCTGTAAAGGATTATATACTTCCTGCCATTCTTCAGAGGCACATAAATTTACTGGGTGAGAATTACAGCATCTGTGCAGAACAGACTCTCAGGGATAGGGAGGAGTTAATTGACTTTCTCAGGGATAACGTGACACGCTCAGAGGCTTGGCCTGAGTCATGCATTCTGCAACGTTGAGTGGGTCACATCCTCTCGCTACAGAGGACTGGGGATTCTTCCTGCCTGCACCACACGGGAGCACATACTTCTACAGAGGAAGCCTTCCACTGCCACTCACACTCAGAACTAGGGGGAGACTGTGCTCCATGACGTTACACACCTGACATTTGAGAAACGAGATTCGGGTCATCAGAATGAAAGATCTCATCTTTACAGCTGCTGGACTACTGCTTCTGGTGCCCTCTTTTTGTCAAAGTGGTAAGTTTTCTTGTGGGGAAACATGGGGATTTTGGTTTGCGTTACAAATTAAGATCCAATGGAACCTAATTTTCTGCACACCTCACACAAATTGCAACCCCGAAAGGCAGAGTTTAATCTCAGTTATTAAAAGAACCACAGAAGTAAAGATCTATATAGTTTGTTTACTCTATTCAGATCTTGTCAAAGACTAAATTCTCCACTGGGGTTTAAACATTTGTGGCATATTCAAGATTTTAGATTATCTAACAAGTACAAAAGCAATTTTCTTTGTGAGATTTTTTTTTTTTTTTTTGCTTGTAAGAATTTCCTCTGATAGCCCTTTTCCAAGGGATTAGAAAAAATCCTATGTTAATACCTCCTGGTAAGACACAAAGACAAGAATATTGCCGGAAAGAGCAAGTTCATCTGCTCTCAACAGCCAGCTGTGCTAGTAAGTTCCAAAACGAAACAGTTCCTTGACTTTCAGTGGTATTAGGGAATTCTCATCCTCATATATGATTTTTTAATGTCAGCAATAAGATCTCCCAAACAATATTTAATCTCAAGTGTATTTACCATTTTACTTAACGCAATGCTAGCCTGTTAAGAATTTGCTCCAAAATTAACGGGTTTGGGACAGGTCTGTTACCTATCATGCTTCCTCTGTTGGGTCATACTCCAGTCAGCATTGCTAGGAATGGGTGAGGTGGGGTATGAGAAGGGGAAAACCCCCAAATAAATGAAAAGCAACACTCTGTCCAGGCATGCTGCATAAACAGGTAGCCAGAATCCCTGGGGCATTGCACAGAGTCTTCAGAGAACCTGTGGTGGGCAGCGGTAGCACACGTGGGTTTATGAGCAGAAGCACTTGCTCTTCCCAGGAGAGAACAAGCCTGAAGGCTGAGCAGCTAAACTGCGAAAGAAACAAGGTGTGTGCGGGTGGTTCCTTCAAGGCGCCAGGAGGGTTTGGTGCCAGTGAGAAGGAGCACTCTACAGAGACCTAGTTTTACAGCAGGCAGCCAATCTGCTTTCTTGATATTGTTGGGGAAGAAACGTGAAGTTCATTATCAAGCAGCTATAGTCGGTTCTCTGCAGTAGTCCCTTGCCAAAGCCTTTTACCCGGTTGAAAACATTTCAGAAATATTACGCCAATTGGAAATCTGGATAAAGAATTCAAATATATTTTAAAAAGCTAACAATATGAGCGCCATTAAGGGAAAACACGTCTCTAAAGAATAAAAAGCTTCTTCTCAGGACAATAGAATAGATTCAACTTTTCCACAAGCAGGCACCGTTCAGCACGTTTGTAGACGCAAGGTCTTGCTCAATCACAGGAATTTTCTGAAAACTGACAAACACTTGACTTCAAGGGCTCTCAGCAGATCCTGAAGGGAAACAACTTGTACAGGATGTTTTTCAGCCACTGCTCTCTAGCTTTGTTCCTGTCGTTAAAGGCATTGCTCCTTGGGTCACGTCCGAAATAAGAACTTTTCTAAAATGCCAAAGTGAGAGGAAGGGTTTGCGTGGGTGCACTCATGTCACGTGACGCGCCTTTTAAAGATCACATCTAAACAATACAGGCGAGGGGACCTCCGCTTCCACCATTGTGTTTCCTTCTGTCAAATCTACCTTTCCTTAAATTAAGGCACCTGCTCAGCTCACACCCCAGGGGTCAGGCTACGCTTCCCGTATTTTATTCAGTTTGTGCAATCCCAGGGTTAGGAGGGAGGCTTCAGTTTCACCTGTGAGCAGATTGCTAGCAGGAAGGGAAACTGGTTCTGAATGACGAACAGGTTATTAAGCGCTGATCTCAAGCACACGACAGGAGCAATTCAGAGGCTGTGGGACAAGCTGTAACTGGCAGAGTACAGGCATTTTAAAGTGATTAAGTCTGTGGTTTATTTTGGCATAAAAGTCCACCTTCAAGGTATCATTAAAAATTTCAGAGGTTATTTTCTATACATGTCAAAGATTAATTTATGAAAATATTACATAATAATAAACAAGTCTGAGCATTAATGTTTTTGAAATTGCCCTTTCAGGGATTAGGATCATTAACATCAACACACCAAGGAATGCCGATTATTTATAGCATATTGTAGCTGTCTTTCTATCCTTTTAAAAATTCATTTCTAATTTCTTAGGACATCACAGCAATTTCATCTTCCGACTTTTCCTCCTGTATGTCCATTCCCCTACAGTCTGCCTTTGCATTTTTTTTTTTTTTCTCACATCTTTCCCTAGAGCCGAGGCTGTCTCAACCACTTCTGCTAAATTAAGCAACAGCCTCCATGCAGACAGGAATGACACACACCTCTAACGTGGGCCCTGGAATTCTGGATTCCACATCCAGTCTGTCTAACCAGCTGCTGGACATGTTAAGCACTAACATCTCGCCAGCAACTAATCTTCATAATACCAGAAGCCCATCCTGCCCTCATCTCTTGTCCCACCTCAGCTAACGGTACCCCCCATCTGAGACATCTTTGCCCCCTGGCTCTCCCCCATCACCCCATCGCCAGCCAGATGCCAAGTCCCCTGGAGTCCCCATCGCAGGCTCTCAGGTATTCTCCTTCACCTTTCCAGGACATTTCTCTAGTTCAGTACCTCACCACCTTAGTTTGAATGACTACAGTCAAATCAGGTCCTCTTGCCTCAAATGTTTCACCTTTTCACTAAAGTCATCTTAAACCGAAGCCAAAATCATCACTACGTCTGTTTCCAATGGCTGCTATTACGACTTATCACAAATTGAGTGGCTTAAAACAATACAAATTTATTATATTTCTGGAGGTCAGAAATCGTAAAATCAAGGGTGTTGGCAGGGCTGTGCTCAGCTCCAGAGGAGGATTTGCTTTCCCGCTTTTTTCAGTTTCTAGAAGCTGCCCACACTGCTCGGCTTATGGCCCTTCCTCCATCTGCACAGCCAGCAGCATAGCCATGTTAGGCATCTTTTCCTAAGTCAAAATTATTACCAGACAAAAATGGAGTTTATTTAAAACTTTATACCACTGGCTCGTAAGTATACAATATAAATTCGTTTAAATCAACCTATCTGGCACTCCCATATCCCATGATAGCAACACCACGCTCCTGCCTGTTCATCACCGGCAGACTCTCATTCACCAAGTCCATTTCTTTACGCACTTTGCTCATCTTTGTTCAAACATCTGAATCAGTTAACTGTTATCCAAAATGCTTATGCAGTTTACAGTCAACATAGCATTTAGGTATCATGTTCTGATGGGCCATTTTTTCCCTTCCAACAGTATTATAACCTTCCTACAAGCAGTGGCCACCTGGTTTTTGTTCCTGCATGGGACAGCCTGGTGCTGGGGCATAGGATATGTACTGAACACATGCTTGTTGATAATCTGCTGTCCAGGGATTTTTTAAAAAGAATAATCCTAAATTCTATGACCAAAGCAATTGTGTAGCATAAGATAATTCATTTTCTTTTCTCCCAAACCATAGATACGGCTTGGCAACTGATCACATATTAATACCTCCTTTCGATTACAGGCATGAAAGATGACGCCAACTTGGCAACACCAACTTTACCCATTAAGACCTTCCGTGGAGCTCCCTTAAATTCTTTTGAAGAGTTCCCCCATTCTGCCATAGAAGGCTGGACGGCAGACACCCTACCTGTAAAAATTAAGTGCCCTGAAGAAAGTGTTTCAAATCTCCTCGTGAATAATGCCACCGTAGGGTACCTGAGCAGCCCCCTAAGTACCAAGCTGATACCCGCCGTCTACATTGTGGTGTTCGTGGTTGGCGTGCCAGCCAACGCCGTGACCCTATGGATGCTCTTCTTCAGGACCAGATCTGTCTGTACAACTATCTTCTACACCAATCTGGCCCTTGCAGATTTTCTTCTGTGTGTCACGTTGCCCTTTAAGATCGCTTACCATCTCAATGGGAACAACTGGGTCTTTGGAGAGGTCATGTGTCGGGCCACCACAGTCATCTTCTATGGCAACATGTACTGCTCCATTTTGCTCCTCACCTGCATCAGCGTCAGCCGCTACCTGGCCATCGTCCATCCTTTCACTTACCGGGCGCTGCCCCAGCGTACCTATGCCTTGTCAACATGTGCATTGGTGTGGGCGACGGTTTTCTTGTATATGCTGCCATTTGTCATCCTGAGGCAGGAGTATCACCTTGTCCAGCCGGATATCACCACCTGCCATGATGTCCACAACACATGCGAGTCCTTGTCTCCCTTCCAACTCTACTACTTCACCTCCTTAGCGTTCTTTGGGTTCTTGATTCCATTCGTGGTTATTATTTACTGCTACACAGCCATCATCCGGACACTCCACGCACACGATGTTAGGTGGCTATGGTATGTCAAGGCAAGTCTCCTCGTCCTTGTGATCTTTACTGTTTGCTTTGCTCCAAGCAACATTATACTTATTATTCACCATGCCAGCTACTACTACCACAGCACTGATGGGGTATACTTTATCTACCTCATAGCTTTGTGCCTAGGTAGCCTGAATAGTTGCTTGGATCCGTTCCTTTATTTTCTAATGTCAAAAATCTCAGATCACTCCCCTGCCTACCTTACCACAGTGAATTCATCTTAGAGAACAAAGGAAGCTATCTGTGGAAACATTCGTTCTTGGGACGACACGCATAGTGCAAGGTGCTCTATTCTCTAACACTATTTTTGGGCTCCTAAGAAATAGTGCTTCAAAAATCAAGCATAATAAGAATATTAGTCTTTGTTTATTTTTAAACATTTTATCAGGATTTTAAGAAAGTTAATGCAGAAGAAAATATATCACTCCTTTCTTTATGCCAAATGACACAGTCCCATCTACTTCAGCTCTTTAAATCTCTGTCTTCCTAACTTTGAGTGGTACCGCCATCCTTGAATTTTGACATTACAGTTGATCCTTCTGTCTCCTCTGCCTCTCACGCCGGTGACTGCCCCATCAGCTCACTTTATCTTTTTTACTGTGTCTCATCAGGGTCCTTTATCCCAGGCCCACCTTTGTCCCCTCAGTCTCTTTCTTTTTTTTTTTTTTGAGACAGAGTCTCACTATGTTGCCCTTGGTAGAGTGCTGTGGCGTCACAGCTCACAGCAACCTCAAACTCTTGGGCTTAAGGGATTCTCTTGCCTCAGCCTCCCAAGTAGCTGGGACTACAGACGCACAATAGCCAGCTATTTTTTTGTTGTTGTTGCAGTTGTCATTGTGGTTTAGCTGGCCCAGGCCATATTCAAACTCGCCACCCTCAGTGTATGTGGCTGGCACCTTACTCACTGAGCTATGGGTGCTACCCCCCCAGATCTCTTTCCTGCCAGCCTGCCCTCCATCTCTGGGTCATGCCAGATTTGTCTTCCTCAGATATCAGTCTGAATACATCACTCAGAAACCTCCACTGACTCTCCACGGCTTCTGCAATGAATCATAAACTTAAGCCTGGCATTTAGGTCTGCCTTTCTAACCTGACTCCCCGTCAAACCCTGCTTGTAATGTAGGTACCAGGCACACCTCTTGCTTTGCTATGATCTTGACTTTTTCTCTCTTCACTCCTTTCTCTAACTGGAAGCTAGTTCTTAAAATCTTTGTCTTAATTCTGGCTGTTTCAAAGTCCTCAAAGGACCAGTCTTCCCTGGTCTTGGGCCAACAGTGTCACTTGGCTTATTTCAATTCCCAAAGCACTTTCTTATATTTTTTATTATGGCAGCTATATATAATTCATTTACACACAAATATTAACTCCACGAACAATTAACACTACATATAAAGGAGAAGGTGCTCATCCTCACTCTTGTATGAGGTTCTTGGATCCTAGACACAAGGTTCTGCAGGGCCCAGCTCCATGCTTCACATATCAGGTGGTTGAATGACTTTCACTCTTCATATAACCATACACATACTATAAAGAGGCTTCATGTGTGAACTTAAAAAATCCCAAAGCATCTAAACATAATGAAATCCCATTAAATTCATGCTGAAAAGGCAATATACTCTGTACAGCATGGGATAACATCATTCCTGGTTAGACAAATAAAAACAATGAGAAAGCTAAACAAAGAATATACACATAAGGGCATTTAGAAGTTTAAAATAATGCCTCCACTATTTTTCTTCCTTAGACATCATTTTTAATGGGGAAATGGTATATTGTTATAAATGCCCAATAGCATATTCTTGTAGGTAACTATGTTTTCCTTAACTTATGGATTAGAAGAGAGGGGGACAGTAGTGTTTAAGGGTGACAGTAATAAATATAACTGGGGTTGAGGAAACCTTTAAGCATAAGGGATTACTGAGATGAATTTGGAGGTCTGTGGGAATGTGCATTAGCTATATACTTTGTAATGACCATCAAAACAATAAAAAAGCATTTTAAATGTATTTTTTAATTTTTTATTTTTTTGAGACACAGTCTCACTTTGTTGCCCTCGGTAGGGTGCCGTGGTATCATAGCTTACAGCAACCTTAAACTCTTGGGCTTAGGCGATCCTTTTGCCTCAGCCTCCCAAGTAGCTGGGACTGTAAGTGCCTGTCACAGCACCTGGCTATTTTTTTTTTGAGACGGGGTCTTGCTCTTGCTTAGGCTGGTTTCAGAGTAATGCATCTGCTCCACCTCCCAAGTTCTGGGATTACAGGCACGAGCCACCATGCCTTGCCCAAATCATTTGAAATGTATTTTTTTAAGGGGAAGAGTTTCCTATTTCATTGAACTTTGGCCAAAAAACAAACAAACAAACAAACAAAAACCTGGCACATGAAGACTCTTTATAGTATGTGTATGGTTATATGAATAGTAAAAATCAGATAAACACCAAAGTGAGCCAAAAAAAAAATCTAGAGTAGGTTTCAAACTGACAGAAACTTCACTGGAAGGAACTGATTTCTGAAAATTAAATCATCAGTTATGATACAGCTTTACTTAGGGAAAAACTAAAGCAATATCCACTTATTAAAAGTATATAATTTTTAAGGAGTAGATAGACCAGGAACAAAACAGAACTTCTATTAAAAAGTCAAAAAAAAAGATGCTGGCATGGCTCTAGAAGAAAAGGAATGCCTTGTTGTTGAGGATACAAATCAGTACCACCTCTTATGGAAAACAATACGGAGATTTTTTTCAAAGAATTAAAGATCTACCATTCAGTTTAGAGATTTTACTACTGGGAATCTACCCAAAGGAAAAGAAAAGACACCTACATCCTATGTGTGCTGCAGCACAAATCGCAGTTGCAAAGATATGGAATGAACCTAAGTGCCCACCCATCAATGAGAGGATAAAGAAAATGTGTGTGTGGTTCACACCATAGAGCACTACTCAACCATCAAAAAGAATGAAATAATGTCTTTTCTAGCAACTTGGATGGAAACGAAGGCCATTACTCTAAGTGAAGTAACCCAGGGTCAAGAAAACAAATACCACATGCTCTCTCTTCTAAGTACTAAGATAAGGGTATGCCTGGTCACACAGAGTGACTTAATGAACACTGAAGACTCAGAAGGGAAAAGGTGAGAAGGAGGTGCAGGATAAAAAATTCTGTACAATGTATGCTATTCAGGTGATGGGTATATTAAAAGCCTGGACTTCATCCATTCATTCAGCTATGTAACAACTACTTGTACTCACTACATTTATTTAAATAAAAATAAACTTAAAAAATAAAGTAAAATAAATATATTTTCCTTAGAGAAAACAAACCCAGAATTTTTGGTGGGGTGTAATTTGTATGTTCTCAAGCAAAACTTTTAATTTTACAATAGCTCACAATTCACTGCCTCCTGTGAACGAAGAAAATGTGTTGCGCTCTGCTAAATATGCCCGTTACCCAGTCTCTTCCCAAGAGGCAAAAGGAATTTGGTACCTACATGAAGTTATACTTGAAATGCTGTGAAAGTAGACCACGAATCCTCACAAACTTACATCACTGTTTATAGCCTTTTATAAAACTGAGCATCTGTTCTATGAAAATGTTGCCCATTATGACCGTTAATGGCTGTATACTTTGGTACAAGCTTTACCTTATACTGATAATACCAGCAACATAAATTTCCCTGATTATTTTCCAAGGCCAGACGTTGGCAAGGCAATAACAAACGCCAGTATAAGAACACAATAGAAATCAAAGGAGCAGAGTTTAAAAAACAGACACAAAGAACAGAATTGGAATTTTCAAGGGAAGAACAGGCTGAGAATAGAAAATTTCAATCTTAATGTGCCAAGAAAGACAACTGTGCTTAAAAAGAGCAATTTAACAAGACGTGATTTATTGCTTGGAACTGTCGTGTTTTCAATTTGCTAGCAATTGCCAAAGTATTTTAAGCCCCTAATTTTATAGGCCAAAAGTGCCCAAACTTGAACCCAGATCTCTATGTTCTGCGTCCTAATTTTTAATGCTCTAGTCACACCATGAAATCCACTCCTTCCACACATAGGAAGGATGCCCAGCACAGAGCTGGCAGAGTGTGGACACTCAAAGCCTTCTGAGAACCCTAGAGGGTCCTACGGGGTCCTGTCTCATCTAGAGACCTCTGGTGGGAATGCTCCAGAAAGGACCTATACTGCCTACCTGTGAAAGACCTGTGTGTGGAGTCAGTCTCATCTCAGAGACAAATCTCCATGTGGTTGTGGGTGGAGAGGATCCCACGTCTGTCTCTGTCTTGTTCTCAGAAGATCCCAACTTTGGTGTGGATGAAACAGACCCTGTGCCCACAAGGACTTCGTGATATGACATTACCCCTTACTAGGGAGGCAGCCACAGGACCCACAATAATACCAGCTACATTATTTAAGCACTGTTGGGGGGTGTCAGGCTCTATGCTAAATATTATAGCTACTTACACAAATATACACACAAAACACATATTCTCCTTTAACCCTTGCCATAATCCTGTAAGTATGTGAAAATAAGCATGTAGAGTTGGGTGACTTGACCAAAGTCACATAGCTAATCTGTGGCAAATGCAAAATTTAAACAGCGCCTGTCTGTCCCCAAAGCAAATACCTTGCTCCTCCAATGCTAGTAAGTTTGTCACAGGCCATAGCCACCTCAGTGAGAACAGCAGGGGGGTGGCCACCTGCCTCCCCTTAGATGTCGGAACAAGACTTGGGCTTGAGTCCTCCCTCTCCCATTCATTGGCTGTGCTGTGGCCCCAAGCTCATTCACATAAGTGGACACAGCACCCACACTCAGTCGCCATGAGGCTTAAATGAGAAACACCGATGTGGGGGGGGGGCACCCGCAGAGCCCTGAGGGTAAGGCAAAGTCACTGCTGACCCTGCCAGGAGCACAGCTCCCCTCCAGCTTCAATGAGGCAGTGCAGCGCCGTGGGGTGAGCAGGATTGATACCAGCTTCTAAAAGTTTAGAAACGTTATGTAACACAAGCATTCTTTAAAAAATATTAAAAAATCAAACAGTAAAAACAAAACAAAACAAACCTGGAATGAAAAAGAGGTCTTGTTTTCACCAGCCTTCGAGTTCATTGTCCAGAAGGTATCCTCCTTCCAGAAGTACCTGATGCATATGTAAACGTGTGCACCCCCCCACCCCCCCAGCACGTGCCCAGGTATGCTGATGTGCGGGGAAGAAGCACACTTTGGTTTTGCTTAACATCACTTAGGTTGTTTTGATCTTTTGTTATTAGAAACAAAGCTGCAATAAACATGTTTTTTCCATCTGCCTTAATGCACGGTAACATTTCTGCATCAGGCAGAGCTGGGCTGTAGTCCCAGAACTAATTACCTTTTGGATGGCTTTGGGCGAGTTACTTAATCTGTGTTTAATTACCTTCTGTAAGATGGCAATAATGATGGTAAAATGATTCAGAGGGCCATTATGAACTGCTATGGGGATTCAGTGAGATAATGTGCATAAAATACATAATATCATGCCTGGCAAATAGTAGGTCCTCAATAAACATTTGCTTTTAACCAAGTTTCTTCCTGTTTCAGATGAGGCAGTTCCCAAGTTCTTAAAAAGCAGACCGAGGAAATGCCCGCCCCTTTCAGTTGGGCTTGCACTTGGGGACATGGCAAGTGGCTAGTCTCAGATGGCATCACTCCCACTTTCAGGTGACAGGTCATAGTATGGCCTCACCACTCAGCCCAGTAGCAGAGTGGAAAGTCTCTGTGGGATGCCTCATAATGGCAGCACAAGCTCTGTGTCCAGATAAAAGCCATCACTCTTTGAAAGGACTCTGGCCTGGCCAGTCTGCTCCCACGCCCAGACTGGTGTCCACGCAGCACTGTGTTACTGCCCACACCCTGCTGCTCTCTGCCCACCTAGCCAACGTGCCTCCTTCCTGGCACAGTGCCTGTGCTCCTCCATGCCAGCGTCTCTCAGGATTCTAGTCCCCAACAATCCCAACTGTCTCCGCATCACTCTGTGCTCCTTGTTTTGACACTTTGCCACGTATGGATCTCTCCTATTCGTAACTGTTCTATATGAGATGCCCACTGCCTCAGTAAGTTTCTAAGTATTTTGAAGATAAAACCAGAGAACATTCAAATGGTATCACTCCTCTGTATCCAGCCTTCACTACCACAAGCTATTGTAGTACATGGACCGTGCAGTATATACTCAGAAAATAGCCAATGAATTAGACTCTGATCAAGAACTCATCCACAACTGAGTTTTTAGTGAAAGAACAGAAGCAATAATCAGCTCTGGAGCCAGCTTCCTCCTTACATTTGGCACTAGGAAAATGACACCCATTTTGATTCAAAGGCAATCACCAGGGTAAGAAGCTTACGAGACTTAACAGCAAGGTCACAATTCCTCCCTCCTACCCACTCACCCCCACCCAACCAGTAAATTTAAAAGAAAAAAATATCAAACCTTACCCTGAGTTTCTGTAATTTAGCGTGTTGTAAAACATCCTGGTAGTGCTGGGCAAAGTCTGGGTCCACATCTTTGATATCCGCATTAGGCAACAGCAAAGATTCCAAAGTCTTCACAGGGTTCCCTAGATCAATGGCTTCATTAATGTACCCTACAGCTACCATTCCTAGAAAATAAAGTTTTCCTTTTAAGTCTCAGTACTTTATAAGTTCTCTAGTATCAGCTATTGCAGAGCTACTAAACAAATACAGCAGGCTACAGGATAAAATATCAATGCACAAAAATCAATGGTGTTTCTGTATACTCCTATGAGCAATCTGAAAATGAAATTTTAAAAATTCAATTTGTAATGAGTCCAATTACAAATACATTCTAATTATAAAAATAAACATTTATAAATAATTTAACAAAAGAAACAAGACAAGTATAGACATCTCTTGGTATCTGCAGAGGACTGGGTCCAGGACATCAATCACAAACACATATACCAAAACCCACACATACTCAAGTCCTGCAGCCAGGCCTGTAGAATCTACTTGTATGAAAAGTCAGCTTGCCATGTAAGTGGGTTTTGCATCTGGTGAATACTATATTTTTGATCCACAGTTCGGTTGATAAAGAAATCCATGGGGCGGCACCTGTGGCTCAAAGGAGTAGGGCGCCAGCCCCATATGCCGGAGGTGGCGAGTTCAAACCCAGCCCCGGCCAAAAACTGAAAAAAAA